TTTTTACAAAAAAGTTTACCAAACCACTCTGCTGATTTATTTCACAGCCGCTTATTCTCACAGCAGCTTTTTTAGTTCAATTCATAGAACTTAATGATCTTTGCTTGTATCTTTTTTATGCAATTCATGCAGGGAACTTGTGAGGAATGCTTTGGGTTGTCGTATGCAATTCATCCAATTCGATAACTTTAGGAAAATCTGAGGGTTAATTAGTGCAATTCACGGTTAATCTGGGGCTTTGGGAATTCATGGTTTATTGAAAAGCAATTGGAAATCATTTTGTATGCAAGTGTGACATGTGTGGAGAAGAACCCCTTAGCTAGCTTTCCATCCATTCACTTTTATCAATTTCGTTTTAGAAACTATTCAATTTACAAAGTTTTGTTTTTGTTTTCAATTTTCGTCAAAACTCAATCCCCATTTATTTTAAGTGTTCAGATAGTTAAAATCAATTTAGTTAAGTGTTTTTAAGTGTCTTGAGTCAAGTTATAACCTATTTTCGTCCAAATTGTGTTTTGTGTTCAAAACTGCCCAGAAAGTGTTTTTAAGGTAGTTTTGAGTGTTTCTGGACTGTTTTGAGTCTTTTGGTTTGTTTTAGTGTTTTAGAGTTTAGTTTGCATTCTTTGAGTTAGTTTAGTTTTTAAACTTTGTTTTTGCATTTTGAGTCAGTTTTCAAGTGATTTAGCAATCCCTCCTAATCCTCGGGCTAGAACGATCCCTACTTACATACTTTGCTACAATTGATAAAAAGAGGGTTTAATTTGTGTGCTTGTATATTTGGCATCAATTTTGACCCTATTTGCATAGACATTAAAAATCCTATCAACGTACATCTTGTGTTTGCTTCCCTGTCCCTATCCATTTACATACTTATCCACACTAGTGACCAGAGCAATCTAGCGAAGGTCACAAACTTAACACTTTCTATTGTACCAAAGTCCTCACTGATTTGGTGCATCAACATTTGGCACCGTCTGTGGGAATGACACTTATTCTCACTCTCTTCAGCTTTGTTTAGCTGGTTTCCACCATTCGCACACTCTCTTTTGACCAGGCATCCCTCTCCAACATGGGGAGCAAAAGAAGCCACATCACACAGAATAACACCCATCTTGCACCTAGTGTGAAGAAACGAAAGAATGAAGGAAAGAGGGTTGCTCTTCAAGCTAAAGTCGATGAGCTAGAATCTCAAAACAACAAGATAACAAAAGAATGATCCTCCAAGACAGTTGAGAGCTCTTTGAGATGCTCCACGAAACTAGGCGTACTCAAACATGCGAACTCATTACCCCTTGTGGACATCAACCATCATCTGGATGTCTCCCAACAAGGAGGGTCACCTTCCTTTGACATGGGTATCCCTGATGAGGAGTAAGCTAATCATCAAAACATTGATCAACATGAGACTTCTCTCAACCCAGCTGCTTCGACCCGAAGCAGGAGAAGTAGAGGAAGACACCTCCTTGTAGAAAGGTTGGAATGAACGAAAGCCTTTTATCGTGACTGCCGGGACTTCCTAAAGCAACGTCGAGAGAATCCCCTCCACATAAGCTCGAAGATCAATGACCCAAGGGTTTCTGAAAGACTCGGTCCCCTCCACATGAATGTCAGGCTTAATCATTGTGGTATGACATGTTGGTAAATATATCATCGTCGAGCTCGTGCCTTGGCATGTGTTTGGGCTTGAATGTAGGCTTTGCATGACAATTAGGCCTTGATTCATCGGATTGGTGTGTTACATTTTTGGGCCTTAACATTAGTCCCCTTGATTATTTGGACTATGAGACACCTTGAGTGGGCTAAATAATCAACCCCAGGCCCAAGAGATTCCTTTTTTAACGTGGGCTTCCTGATGGGACTCTTCATTTTCTCGCATGGAAGCTGTAGGTATTCCCCTGCCTCCATTTGGTAACCGTTACAAACTGTTCTTCTTCCTAGGACAAGTATTTACTTTGTCCCTGCTTTTCCTTCTTCTTTTTTAATTCTCCTTCCTTCTTTAAATTTCCCACAATAGCTTTTCTTTCAAATTCCTCTCTGCTTTGCACTGGGTTGTGCCATCCCGTTCATGCTTCTTTGTGCTCTACGACAAGGTTTTTTTTTTCAGGTAAGGAAATTCTTCCCTTGACTCATTTTTGAATTTTTTTCTTCTTCTGTTTGCCTTTTTCTGTTTGTCCTAGTGATAAAATTAGGCATGCATATCCTCTCTGTGATTATGTGTTCCACAAATTTTAGGATTTCAACGTGGGCACGGAAGGGGTGCAACTTTTTCCTTCAGGAAATTGAACTCCACTCCTTGGGCAGTCTTGCTGCTTCGAAATCTTGTGCGTTTACTTTTTATGATTTCTTTCTTGCTTTTCATGTATGCCATGCAATTGTCATCAAGCGTAGCTTGCTTACGTGTTGATATGTGTTTGAGTAGGATCGATCGATTGATTGCATCGATGTACTTGGCATGATTAGCTTGACTGCATATAGCCTGTTTTTGCTTGGATATGTGCATAACATACTTTCCTTGGCTAGATCTTATAGGGCTTTGATAGCATGGCATGTGTAGGAAAAAATGCATGTATGTTTGCATGATAGCATGTAAGGAAAGTAGTCCCATGTTAAGGTCTTAGACTTTTGCATGAAATTTTTGAATTTTATGAATGTACCCTTTTGCTTTCCTGGGGCATGCCTATTTGTTTTCCCTGCATGCTTGTATATTTATTCCTACATGTTGCACTGGCTTGTAGTATCTATGGTTTTCATACTTGCATTCTGTTTATACCATTTAGGGCCTCCGTATTTAGATCTCGTACAAATACTCGGGGCACTTAAATGTAATTATGTAATAAAGGAAGGGATAAATATGTAATAAGTGAGGAGCCCTTATTCTATAAAAGGACTCCTCACCCTCACAATTAGAGGAGGCCAACTCTTAGGCCTGAAGCCCTCTCATCACCCTCTTACATCTCCTTTCACATTACAGAGGTTCTCTCCCTTACAATCCTCTCATAAATACAATATCAGTGTGGACGTAGCTTAAACCTTGGGGTGAACTACGATACGTCTTGTGTTATTTACTTTTATGCAAATTCACGGTCGGATTTACGTTGTTCCAAGACTTCCGGTTTTGTGCATCAACATTTGGCGCCGTCTGTGGGAATCGACACAAAACATTATGTCAGTTCTTTTTCATTTTTTCACCTCTACTATGAATCTGCAAAATCTGCAAAAAAATCCAGAGCTTTCCCAGAAATCTAAACACCCGCAGAAACTAATCTCTCTCTCTGTGACAACGAACCCGTGAGGCTACTCCCATTAAACATCTCTGAACTCTGTCTTATTCCCAATACGAAAAGCAACCATATCAATAGCACACAGAGAGAAATAACAGAGAGAGAAAGAGACTTCTGCAGTTCATAAAGTTTCAATTTTTATCGAAGAAGAGAGAGAGCGCGTCTGAGTTATGGGAAGAGCACACAGCTTTATCGAAGCTCCAACATCGGCGCGTCTCGCCCAATATGATGGCTGATTACTCACCGCTGCTAACCGCATACGACAGTCTTGGGACTGCCAGTCTGAAGCCTCCACGCGTCGCCTCTCTTGATGTGTTCCGCGACCTCTGCGTCTTCTTGATAATGCTAGTTGATTACGGCGGCTCAATTCTTCCGATTATCACTCACTCCCCATGGAATGAGCTCCATTTGGCTGACTTTGTTATGCCTTTCTTTTTATTCATTGTCGGCGTTTCTCTTGCTCTTGTATACACGAGAGTGACAAACAGAGTAGAAGCTACATGGAAGGCGATGTTTAAGGCTGTAAAACTTTTTCTTCTAGGAGTCCTGCTTCAAGGTGGTTATTTCCATGGAGTAGCATCTTTGACTTATGAAGTTGACATTGAAAGTATACGGTGGTTTGGCATTTTGCAAAGGATAGCTATTGGATATATTGCGGCAGCTTTATGCAAGATCTAGCTTTCATGCCAGACATTGGGGGAGGTGGGATTTTTCAGGACTGGACAGTGGAGATCACCAACCTTGTCCGCCGACCGACCCGGTTCACCATGGACTAGCTCATCCATGAATTCAAGCCATGAGAGCTCCAAACCTTCAGCTATGGCTAGGGCAGCTACTCCAGCGTGCGCCTCCTCAATCACCACCGCCAAACGAACCAAAATTCATCCCTTAATTCGTCTTTCAACCTTCTCTCTCTCTACTAATTTTAGTTCTCTCTTTCCACCAAAATCTAGGTTTTTCCTATGTTCTCAAAGAAGGTTTTCAATGGAGGTAGAGTAGAAGCAAGCCCAAGTGATCGAGCACTTCGTGAAGCAAGCTTTTAGTCTCCAGGGGTCCTTTCTCATTAGCCTCATAGTCCAACTCACCTCTTATTCTTCTCTCTTCGCTTTCTCCGAGATTTTGGGTGTCCCCAATGTGCTCGAGCTTCAAGGAATGGGATGGCACAACTCAGATCTTATGGTGGAGCTGGAATACACCAACTGGTGTTCAAGCAACAGAAAAAAAGAAAGGGCAGAGAGTGAAAAAAAGAAAGCAAAAGCGGAGATAAGATTATTTTCTTATTATTAAATCTATTATCATTCCTTGTCTACCATATTAATCAGGGTCAAGAAAAGAAAAAGAAAAGCGAAAGTGAAAAGGAAAAGGAAAAGAGAAAAGAAGAAAAGCAAAAATTTTCCTATGATTACAATTCATTTTGTCTGCCAGGTGAAGAGACAGAGAGAGTGGTGGAAAAGCAAAAGCAACACACCAATGATCTGCAATTGTTGAAGCTTTTGTGTCGAAACCTTTGTTTGTATGATGTAATTTATTTTTCTTATCTTTCGGAGACATTTGTATAAAACCCCATCAGAGGGTAATTAAAAAAAAAACGCAAACCCCAAAATAAATGGGTTGGAATATTGTGTAGAGGGCAAAGGCCCATAAAGCCCAAAATAGTTCCAACCAGGTGATCAAAAGTATGTCCAGTGTTCCCCAATTATTCGACAACCTACCGCTATTACCACCAACCAGGTGATCAAAAGTACGCCCAGTACTCCAAAACTATTCGGCAACCTGCTGCTATTACCACCAACCAGGTGATCAAAAGTACGCCCAGTACTTCAAACAGACATGAGCACTACTCATGTCAATCATACATAAACATTCATGAGCATCACTCATATCAATCATACATAAACATTCATGAGCATCACTCATGTCAATCAGCTTTAAAAGCTTCATTTACAAAGCTCTAGCTTCAAAAGCTTCATTTACAGAGCTCTAGCTTCAAAAGCTTCATTTACAAAAGCTCTAGCTTCAAAAGCTTCATTTACAAAAGCTCTAGCTTCAAAAGCTTCATTTACAGAGCTCCAGCTTCAAAGCTTCACCTACAAAAGCTTCAGTGTAGGGTATACAAATACCGCCTCCGAACAACCGCCACTTCGACCCATACCTGGATTCAATTTGAAGTCTCCGGCCAACAAACTCTATTGACCGAAGACTTGGGGGACTACACTATACACCATATATTGGGCCTCAACTGGGCCTTATGAAAAATACTTAGGGGACTTAGCCCATTATCTATATAATGAAGTGCGAGCCCTTACTCTATAAAAGGGACTCCCTCACTTTCATTAGAGAGCACTCATGAAAAATACTTGGGGGACTTAGCCCATCACTTATGTATTGAGAAGCGAGCCCTTATTCTATAAAAGGAACTCCCTCACCATCATTAGAGAGCATCAACTCTAGCCCATCATTCATGTATTGAGGAGCGAGCCCTTATTCTATAAGAGGGACTCCCTCACCTTCAAAAGCCACAAGCCGAGCCAACCAAGGCAACATAAGCCATGAGCCGAACAGCCTCGCAACATGTGCTACTTCTAGTTGAGCATCATTTCAGATTGAGCACCGCCTCATATCGAGCATCAGTTCAAGACAACATCTAGTTACTTTGGCCCACACATGGACTGAATTGTAAGTCTCCAGCCAAAGGACTCTCTTGACTGAAGACTTGGGGGACTACTGTTTATACAATATTTAAGGCCTCCGTATTTAGATCTCGTACAAATACTCGGGGGACTATTCTATAAAGAGGCAAATATGTAATAAGTGAAGAGCCCTTATTCTATAAAAGGACTCATCACCCTCATAATTAAAGGAGGCCAATTCTTAGGCCTGAAGCCCCCTTCTCACCCTCTCACATCTCCTCTCACATTACAGAGGTTCTCTCCCTCACAATCCTCTCACAAATACAATATCAGTGTGGACGTAGCCCAAACCTTGGGGTGAACCACGATACGTCTTGTATTATTTACTTTCATGCAGATTCACGGTCGGATTTACTTTGTTCCAAGACCTCCGGTTTTGTGCATCAACACATTCCATAGGTGCATTATGGCTACATAATCACCAAAGTGCTTAGCTGCAGTGGGCGGGTCTATGCCTAGCAATTTTTTACACAACTCTTTAACCTGACACGAAACGACATGAAATTAACAGGTATGTGTTTTTTTATTAACAGGTCATAACAGATCGAGTCACTTTACCTGGAAAGGTCGAAGCATGCTGGCCATCATCGTGAGGTGACGTAACCATAAGGGTAAGTGATGCAAAAAGTGAATAAAATTAAAACTAATTAGAAATAGATATACTAAATAGTGGAAGAGTGCGCAATCGTGGGAAGAACCCACTACAATTATTCAAAGCGTAATAGACAGTGAGACTACAGAAGAGTAGTCAAGGTAACTAAAGTACACTTATTACACAACAGTGATAAGTTCGTATGTCTAAACAGAAGAGATTCATCGACTGCCACAAAGAGTACAGCTATCTAGATCCTGGAGGGGCGAAAAACAAAGTTGAGTGGGTTAGCGAAACAATGCTTATATGAAATCCTTTATTTTCGAATATACTAACCCCTCGCCGTAAAACAAGTATAGTTTCCTTAAGCATACTACGCAAGTATGTAAACGATAAATCAACATCTATTATAACAGTAATATAACCAGAAATATGCCAAGTCATGATGTATCAAATGCCATAATAATATAATCATGTGATAATCAAGTATAGCTAAGTGCTCATCCATCTAAGCTGACACACAAGTTAGAACAAATAATTTCTGACACGAACAGGACTGGGTGTAATCAATATGCTCTAGTACTACAATCATGTGAAGGATGGTGCTGAAGCATGATCACATACAAGTTGGATTGCCTAATGCAATCTACCCGACAGGACTGGCACCTAACTTGGATCAAAGACGAGCGAACGGTGCGATGTGAACATACACGTGAAGGACTAGCCCTAGCCCTCAGGCGAGTATTAACACACGGGTGCAGCAAGATGAGAATGTACAAATATGTATGAATGTCATGACAGTAATATCTCAACCATATAGCAGCATTTAACACAATTACTAACACAAGAACGATACTTGGTGAAATAAGTGTAAAAGTGAAGTAATTACGCATTTATGGAAACTATAAATATGTATAAGTATAAAAACAAACTGCCCACTCACAAGTACGTCGCTGGGTCGTAGCCCCTGAGCCTAGCCTAGCCCCGAATGTCCTCGTGATACGTTTCCCTTATATGTGAAATAACTAAAATAAAATTAATTAAAGTACATATACGGAAACCTAAATAAAACCCCCATAGTTTGCTCAAACCTAGGGTTTAAATATACCATCGTGACCTACTTGACGTCACGAACATCCCCAAATTTTTAGGATAAATTTTGGATGGCTCACGGGCCCCCATGCGCCGGTAATGGCACGGCCAGACGCCCCTTCCACTCGCAAGCCAGTGTCGTCAGTGGGCCTGACGCCGTCAGGAATATTCCACAAAATATTCCATTAAAGGCTAACCGAATTTAACGTCGTTACCTGATGCCGTCAAGAATATTTCATCAATCCATCAACTCTGATGAAATATTTCGTCTCCTTCTCTGGTTGTCCTCGCCGTTGTCGTCATCGTCTTCCGCCGCCGTCTGCAACTCGATTTTCGTTGGTTTTCTAGAAAATTTTCAAACTCACTATTCTCATTCATTTCTCAACCATTTTTGATGTACTTTATATGGATTCGAAGCTCATGAAGAGTAAAATCATGTTATACCTATTTGGAGTCCAAAAAGTGGATGGAGGTTGCCGGATAAAGCCTCGAAAATTCCGGCCAAAAGTGCACTCTTCGAAACGAGGTCGTTTTACTTCCAAACTTCTCCCAAATTGTTGTAGAGCCTCGAGGAGTTGCATAGGAGATTCCCCAAGCTTCAAAACTTCCTAACTTGCTCCAAAACATGTCGAACTCAGTGTGCCCGAGTTTGGACCTTTCGAGTTAAAGAGTTAAAACTCGTCTAAACCAGATTTCAAGAACATGGTTGTGATTGAGAAGATGAGAGGAGTACAATGGTATGGTTTTTGGATTCGATCTACGAGCTTGTAAGCTTGTTGGAGGGTTTTGTAGATAGAGAGCATACGAGAGAGAGAGAGAGAGAGAGAGAGAGAGAGAGAGAATTATTTTCGTTTGCTTTTCTGATTGGTTGTTGCAAAGAGGGAGTGGATGGGATTGGTGAGAGTGTGAAATAATGGAGGAGGGTGCACGGGATGGCTAATAAATAGCTAGGGATAGGGTTTTGGATTTTGTACAGAAATGAGTATCAAAAATCTATCTGAAACAGTGTTTTTACACTGTTAAAATTTACCTACACTCATAACAACGTGTACAATTTAAATGCGATAGCAAGAAATAAAATGAAAGTGATAAGAATACGTCCACATCACTTTCCAACAAGGGCATAACCGTCAATACACATACTCGGGGAGAAATTATATAGGAAAATTAGGGACGGGTCATCATAGCTATCTCCTCTTGGTTCCTAGAACAAGGCTTTTAAGGATTATAAGCCTTCTTTATACTTAGTCTTTCCTATCGATCCCAAACGTATAACCTGGTGTTACACTGAAAGTGGGTTGTTT